TTTGATAAATTCCTACCTTGACCAGATGATGATATGTTTCCTTCAATAACTCCAAGCAAATTAGCTTGTACGCACCTCTCTCTGTTCGGCCCCGCCTCCAAGATGTCCAAATGTACATGTATTAACTTGAACAATGTCAAGAAACTGACAGCCACTCTCCCGAAAGCATAAGACACGGATGAGACGTAGATGACGTATGGACCTGTCATGACGTGTTATGAATTACAATGAATTATACATGCTTGGACAGGGATCATTACTTAAACCACCTCTATTTTAGTTGTCTTTTAACGCCCCCCCCCCCCCGCTTTTTTTTTAAACTGACGTCAAAATATACGATACACTAACATATGTTAATAAAAAATAATCATCTTAATAATCTGCTCATTAGATATCGAATGAATCACAGTGGATTATTTAGAACTGCTAAAGCAAACATCTTGGCGGGTACATTGGGCCTCTGTTACAGTTTCAAGAAACCCAAGACCCGAGGAATTATTTCATAGCTTTTAATACGTAATGAAAATAGATTGAATCGCTTCCACTTAAAATTAAATATTGTGGACACCCAGTTACATGTAGATATAAGAATGATAATAATGGTAATACATAATAATACTAATGAAAACGCATAAATTAATTTCTATTTTATAACGGTCAGAGTAACTTGTGACTGTTTTGCCAAATGTAAACTGCAAAATGTAAGATTCAATAGTTTACAACACTCAGTGTTACACCTTCATGCTTTCATCTTCAGTTTTATCTGGTGCCCAGAACGCAACCGTTGTCAAGAGTCCAAAAACGGTAATATTTGAGTAAACCAATTATTCTTTCCGGAAAGAAATGAAATGGGGTTTAACATCCTACTGTTCTGCTTCGACTGGGTTAATGAAGACTGACATACGCCATGCAGTGTGCTATGAGGAAATTTTTTACCCAGACAGCGGTGCTACGGCTTACTCTTACATCGAATTCCAACTGACAGGGAATCATTTACGTGTACACGGAACCTCGGTTTTTCGTCCTATCCGAAAGTCTGGACAGCTGTCCTTGTCAGTCCCTTCGTTATGCACCACTGACAAGGGGGAAATCCCGTAAAGAAATAAAGTTGTCAAATAAAGCCTTCCTGGATTACAAGCATTTGGACTATTTACTACTTTAAAGGAGCTAAATCGCTAATATTTGGGACCTAGAAATTGACCAAAATGGGTCGAAACGCATATAATAATGTAATCTGATTGTATATAAACTGATTTACATTCAATTGTTTCCCTTTTGACTCTAATTTCAAATCAGTTATGTCCAGCGAAATACAGCATGTGTCTCAACCCTATAGCAATTTCTAGCGTCTGGTTATTCCAGTCTATTAAGCAGGCTCTCCAGTTGAATATGTCTAGCCTCGTTCTTTCTGGTCACTTGTTGCAAATGACGCTAAAACGCACTATTATACACGATTCGTGTACCAATGGTAAAATGTTTATTTTGTCTTAAATATTGGATATCAGAAGCCTGCCCTTTCTTGCTAAGATCACAATTCGTATTTTCAATGTGTAAGACTTTGAATGATATTGAGTTAGAGACTTAGCTACTTTAAGGAAAGAACCAGGATACATAATATAAACCCACCTATTTCTAATTAAATATATAACATTGACTAGGGTGTGTGATAAACATCCAGTAATACTTATCCTCTATGAACAGAATTAAATCCTTGTAAATTCAGAGTTTTCAGGGTTTTTTTCAAACATGCTTGGATTATTGCCAGGCAACCTATGTTTATGACTCTTTTTCCTGATTCTTCACTATAATGGTCTGTGGTGATATGGGGGGGGGGGTGTAACCAATTATACAATTATAAATTTGAGAATAAATTTATGGAATGCCGCTCTAATATTGATATCTTGAATGGTTTGGTTTATTAGATATCAAAATCTATGTCAAATATGTTTCCAATGGAGATACAAAAATTATTAGGACCAAATGTGTATTTGTAGAATGTTTGGAAACAGATATGAACAGAGCTCATTTCAGTATACCCCCCGGCATTAATTTTGCTTGAGATGGGATTAACATAAGCAAAACTACTATGAGTTTGTATCATCCAAACAAACTATAATGTATAATAAAAAATAGTTTTATTTCTTAAAAGAATTATGAAAATATTACAGGGCTTTATTATATTTAACAAGAGTCCTAAACATAGAAATATATTATAAGCAATCTAAATATTAACCATGCTTTATAAGCATCAATAATAATATAATAAACAGGTGATTAAAATGTTCATGCTATATTCAACAATTTAAAGAATCTTAAATACATCATCTAAGTGAACCAAATTTGTCAAGTCATGTTCACAAATCAACTGAATTCATTGTCTCACTATCCAAGTAAACCTTCTTGTCAATCTTAATTACCAAATCTTGGTAAACTATGTCTTGTTTCATATCAGTACTGTAATCCTAATTTAGTCACTGATTGAATCCTCTCAGACTACACTGTGCAAATATATGTACCCAGTCTTGTCTGTTGGTCTATCTCTGTACTAAGTCTTGCCTCTCTATCTCAGTATCAAGATCTCAGTACACAGTCTTGTCTCTCTATCTCAGTTTCAAGAGACTTGTCTCTATCTCAGCAAACTAATCCTTGTCTGACTATCTATCTCAGTACCATGACTTGTCATTATCACCCAATAGCACATTCTACAGTAGATATGCTTGTGTGATAAATTTCTTAATCTACTGGATATCTCCTTAGGAGATATCGCTTTACATGAATTTGATTGGTCAACTCAAAAGGAACTTTTTTTTTATTTTCAAAGACCAATTCATTTTTAATTAAAAGTAACTTCTTTATTTAATTGACCTTGATGGAAACACTGGGTCAATATAAAGGACTTTGCAATGGTGAATTGCTGTCAAAAAAAGGTAAACCAATATGCTCTAATGTAATCAGGTTCAGTAAAAGTGAAATCTATAGCAAAGAGTAAAAAAGGATTGGGTGATAAAAAAATCTCCTACTCGTCTTTTTTGATATGGAAAAATATCAACACTTGTCGATAGAGTTGAAAACCCCACGGCAAAGCCTAGGTTTCTTTTTTTACTCTTTTGACTTGAGCTGATATTTTTGACATCAAAAATGACCCGTAGGAGATTCTCTATACATCAGTACAAAGTCTTGTCTATAAGTACAAGGTCTTGTCTATATATCAGTACAAAGTCTTGTCCATCTATCTCAATACACAGTCTTGTCTATCTCAATAAATGAATCATTGTCTTGACTATTGTAGTAAACCAAGATTTGTATATCTCAGTATCAAGTCGTGTAACTCTGGCCTATTTCATTATCTTGATTGTCTAACAATTTATCTTGTCCAACTATCCGAATAAGTTAGTTAGTTTTATCCCACTATCTTAGCGACTAAAGTCTTTGATTATCTGATAAGGCTTGTAACAAATAAAAAGATAAACAAATTAATAATAACCTTAAAAGCATAATTCAACATAGAGATCCTCCGTAATAGTCAAGGAACCATTTAACTTAATTATTTGTTTTGTCTTATTATTATTTGAGGAGGATTCTATATATATTCCATTAGATATACATATATATTATATATACTGTGAATCAGTAAAATCAAAAAATAAAATAAATATATCAAGCAGGTTCATATATAGCATGGATAACAATAAAATCAATAGAATACAAATCTTTAATAAAAATCAATAGATTTTGTTTAACAAAAAATATAAAATTACTAATGCTGAATGCAATGGATCAGAAATGTAGCATGTGCACTAGAGCATCACTATAGCAAAGTTTGCTGCATTTCCCAGGATGCAGGCATCAGTATAGTGTGTTATAGTGAAGTCCTGGCTAAGTTACATTATGCTGTCCTTATATTTTGTGGCATTTCAGCCTTCCGTGTATAAAATAATATATCTTTTTTTAACCAGATATCACCTGGGTGGAAGCCATTAGCCAACATTAAATAAAGCTATTTCAATTACCCCAACTAAATCTTTATGTTAAAATAAACGATATAATTCATTCACGTTTAATTATTCCCCTTTCAATTTCTTTATTAAATTGAAAATATAATAATTCTAATGAATGGGAAAAATAAATCATAGAGTGTAATCATAGCTAGTAAATGGGAATCTGTTGCAGATAATGACAAAATATTATATTATGCTGATGTTGGGCTTGCGATAAGATGTGTGTGATCATTGGATTGTAATGGATTTAGATTTGATTACAGAAAATTTATCCAAATCTATAATAAAGAAATGATCTTAACGTTGTCTCTACAATTTCTAGTTCATTTTTAGTGTAAAACTTTTAAATTCAATTATCGAGACCAATAGGAGGCATGCAGTTATTATTTTGGCCGCCAGCAGCCTGATAAAAAATGATAGAAAAAAACAAATCAAACCTAAGTACAAAATTTTCAATCCTTACAGTGAATACTTTATAACTATATAAAATCAACAAATATAGGAAAATTTCCATAAAACAATTCAGGCTTTTGATTTTGTCAAAATAAACATTTTGCTGATCCTCGGATGAAAGACCAATTGGTCAGGTTAAAAGAGTTTCTCAAAATCAGCATTTTAACATTAAATGTAATAACAATCAAATGCATACATTTTGGGCCATCATCAGGAAATAGATCTGAGCAACATTAATAATTAAAGTAATAAGATCTCCACATAATTAATATTTTACAGTTATCAGTAAATAAAAAAAAAACCAACTTAATCTTCTTTAAGAGGCATTGAACAGTAACACACTAAACACTATTTATGGAATGACAATTACTGGTTTATTAATTTGCTTGATAAAGATGAGAGTATGCTAATAAACCAGTAATTGTTATTCCGTAAATAGAGTTTAGTGTGACCCCCCCCCCCCCCCCAACTTTACAGCTATCTACATTATCCAAGACATGCAAAGTCATTATCTTTTCACTTTGCTCACCCCCCCCCCCCCCCAAAAAAAAAACAAAAACAAGCTTTCCATAAAAAATATTACCTATTGAGGAAAATTTGATATATTATAATTTTCCAAAAACATTAAATAATGCTAAACAAAAGTTTCAGATGCAATTTTGCATACTGAATAATTATGTTTTAAAATACAAATACAATATATAATAAATTATAAAACATAATAATATATATGATTTTATGGAACCAGGGATTAATGACATCTCATGTCTTTGAAATACTCAAATCTAACCGTTATTAAAATATTCTACTGTCACTGGCAGAAATATTACATAACACAACTTTGCTCTGGCTATTTAAACTACAAATCATGCAACTTTTATTTATCAGATACTGTATTAATACTTCTGTTTAAATATTCTCTCAAATTAACTAAGTTACTGCTCTGCTAGGAGACACAAAATTGTATTTTGTATTACGAGAGGTGCAGTCAGTGAACATAAAATAATCAACATGTTTCTATATTGCTTAAAATAAACATAACAAATACTATATACATAGTTACATACAAAAATTATTTAACAATACACACTAGTGTATTTGTGGTTTCCGGATACGACAACAGAGCCGCAATACAATTGATACTCTTCTTCAAATTACAACTGCCAAGGGTTCTTTTACATGCACGTCCCATCCACAAGACTAGATGTTATTCATCGCCTGGCCCTCCATCGAGCACCACTAACAAGGGAAGATCGAACCCTGAGTCACTGTGGATTGCCTTGTGACAACAGACTGCAAATAACTTGTACCAGCAAGTATGAACGTGAGCTTGAAAATGAATCTGATCTTACGAAAATGTAATAAAACGGTAGCAAATAAATATCAGTATTTGATTTTTAAAAAGAATTATGTCATTTGTTTCCCCTGTCACATGGCCTAATTGTTAAAATATATATATATATTTAGGAGCTGTGGTTAAAAATGCATTAATAATCAGAAATAGTGCTGGGTATCGTCACTGCAGTCATGGTAAGATAAGTATTGCGATGCAGGTGCTACGATTCGTATCACGATTCGTCAATATTTACCAAGAAAACAACAGGATAAGGAATAATTGATATTTTTAGTTCTGCAGAATCAAAGAAATTAAACGGTTTTATATCACATTATTGACGTAGATCAAAGTAAGGACCAAAACAATTTCTGAGAGTTTGTGTGGTAATATGTGACAGGGATAATTAAGAGTGACAGGTTACTTACTGAAGCAACAAAAAAACATAAAAAAAAGAATCGCCGTATATCGTTTCAGGATCTTGTGATTGCGAATCATGAGAAGGTGAATCGCAAAACATCAATATATCTTGCCAGCACTAATGACAAATAATATTGAAGTGATATTTAAGAAACGGGTTTTAAAACATTATGTTGCGTGAGCTCCACAATCCATTATGTTTGATATCATGGCTGCAGCTTTAAAAGACTGTATCAGGGTTTTGCAAAAAATGTTGAGCTCCTACAGTTTCTGATCGTCATTTGAGTGATTTCTAATTCCTTGCAAACTGAATATTGTGGGTGTTGAATCTCTGCAGACAATATACATGTAAACAGGATATGGTCAAAAAAAGCCAGCAGCACCACCACTAATCTTTCCTAAAATCTATTGATGGGCCTTTTTGTATTAAGATTAAAACTATGCTGGGAGATTATCAGCTGCTTTAGTAAAACGTTGCCTCAAAATGTACACAAAATATAATAGTCATATTTCTGAAGAATGTGTAGCTGGTTAAATAGCATTTTGCTATCCATTTGTTAGAGAAAGGCTGCTGCTTAAAGCTATTCACAGACATAAGCAAGCTAAACCTTACAATACATAATCTAAATACATGTAAGTTGGTTTAAACAAAATATGCAATTGATCCTTAAATCAAATTAAACATTTAAAAGAGTACATCAAGAACAGATCACAGAAATGGTTTATGCTGTACATTCCTTAAAGTATGGTATTAATAATAAATTATATAATTTTTAAATTCATCAATATGCATTTCTAGGACAGAATCTTTACAATGATTAATCAGAGTTAAATATATAGATAACAGAAAAGGATCTTTTGCATTTATTCTTCAATAGCTAGTGTCTTACTAGGGTACTTGTAAGTCTTGGTTGATTAATGCTTAAAATTCTCAAGTAAGAGTATCCCCGGAGATTGATGTATAAATATCTTGTGCATTTATTCTTCAATAGCTAGTGTCTTACTAGGGTACTTGTAAGTCTTGGTTGATTAATGCTTAAAATTCTCAAGTAAGAGTATCCCGGAGATTGAAGTATAAATATAATAACTGTAGTTTTCATCTTGACACTGCAATTTTACTAGAAAAAAAGTGATAGGTTATTTCTATTAATGATGAGACAAGCCCTATATGATCATGTCTTTCTTTCACAAGATTAAAACGGATATACATTTGTTTACTGATTTTTGTTTAAATTTGGCTTACTGTGTAGCCAGTGAAACTCAGAAACGACCTATTAATATTTTAAAATAAGACAGATCATTATCCCGTAAAACAAATCACTATATAAAATCAAATGAAGTTTTATTTGTGACCAAATTATGTCTGACAAATTGTTCACCAAATCATGACCTAATTTTAATCAGATTGGTCACAATTTAGGAAATTAAAAAAAACCCAATACTTTCTTCGGTTTTACAAATCTTACAAAGTAAACAAAATAATGCATCATATTTCTAAACAATGAGCAAAAATCAAGCTTCCTTTGCTTGATATTATAGAAGATCAGAAATTTGGATTACCATGTCAGAGTTATTAGGAATATATCATATAGTTTATATGGTGCTGTTCTGAGATAGAAATTTTAATGTTATTTAGTACATATTTCTTTAGTTATTTTGTTATGGAAAATAAACAAAATGTAAACATCAAATTGGGACAGAGCATCTGGGTTATTTTAGTAAATGATAAACAGTGGAATATTCGTCATGTTTAAATTCAGAAAACAGGTTGTTGAAAGTGGGGCGCTCCACGGCACGCAATTTCCAGCAACTTAGCATGAGATCATAAACTCTATCTGGGCATTTTTCGGGTTTAGGTAATCGACAGCCTTGCTCAATGAACTCCAACACCTGAAAACAAGAGGGTGGACATTGTAGACAAAGACACATATGCATGTATGAGGCAAAAGCAGACACAAAGAATCAGAATACAACATTGGATAAGTATTAGCAGAAGCCTGTAAAAATAGAAGGCTTATGGTTAATTGGTTAAAAAGTAACCCAGTTCAATAAAATAAGGCTATATTAGTTGGTGGTTAGATAGGGTGATGTGATTATTACACATTCTATTTCCTATTATATGTACTCTGTCATTCTCCATACTATGAAAGGGTATTGCTGACAATATTAAATGCTCTGCGACAATGTCTTTTCCATTGATTATATGTAAAAAGTACAAAGTACAAAGAAAGTCCTAATACCGATAAAGTCAAAATACCTCTAATGCAAGAGTTAAATGTAAAATGTCAAATGTTAAGTGTTAAATGATAAATGTTTTGTGGGATAATTCTTTTTTTGAAATGTCTACATTTTACATTTCTCTCATTACATTTTACATTTGCGCTCTGCCACATCCCATTTGTCCATCACGATTTCTACATAGCAACTTTCGCACAGCATCAACTTTCATATGCAAGTGTAGGATATCGCGTGACTTATTAACATATACGGAAACCTCCTGGCACACTATAAACTAGCAAACTATAAGGATATTCACCGCACTATAACAGTAAATCAAGCTGGTACACCTTAAGAAACTATCTAGACGACCGTGCGTAATCATGAATGTGCCATGAAATAATTGATAGCCAAAGAAACATACTTTCCAGTAATTTATAACACAATAACTAGAATTTCATATTAATACCCATATTTTGATATTTTAAACACCTCCCACTCTTACAGCCTAATTAACTTTGATCCATTAAAAAAAACCAATATAAGCATTGTGCCCAACAAATAAATAATAAATTTAAAGAGAGGAATTTAAAGTTAACTTAAGCAAATATGAATGTGCCAGAAAATTATTTGCATATTTGAATAGGGCAATCAGAGATATGTAACATGGTATCTGGAATTTCGTATTTAGACCAGTATTTTTACTTGAATACCCCTTTAATAGTGTGATATTTATTGGAATTGAATTATGAAAATACGATTGTCCCAGAAAACTATTTACATATTTACAAATACAAATCAACGTGCTTTTCACTAATATGTAACATGATACCTGGAATTTCGTATTTGGACAATCGCACAGCCCCCACACCCATCCCCGTAATCATGGTAAAGTACCTTCCAAAGTGTCAAGGTAAGTAAATTTTTATTGTGTGCTAGGCTGATTTCCTGTTATAGTGTCGTGAATATACTTGTTCTGGCTTATAGTGTGCCAGGTTTCGGTATATATGTTAATACGTCACGTGATATCCTACATTTGCATATGAAAGTTGATGCTGTGCGAAACATGCTATGTTGAATGCACGAAGGACAAATGGGATGTGGCAAAGAGCAAATGTAAAATGTAATGAGAGAAATGTAAAATGTAGACACGTCAAAAAAAGCATTTTCCCACAAAACATTTGTCATTTAACACTTAACATTTGACGTTTTACATTTAACTCTGTATTTTGACTTTATCTTTACCGGTATTAGGACTTTGTACATTGTACATATAATCAATGGAAAAGACATTGCAGCAGAGCATTTAATATTGGCAGCGATACCCTTCCATACCAATCAGGATGATCATTACTCTTTTGTGAGTTCCACACAGTCTAGATTACAATGGAATGATGCAGAATTGAGTTTTGTAACAGCTATAAAAGATATACTATGAGAGTACAAGAATATATTACTATCAAACATCACTGGAGATGGGTTAATATTTAGCAATGAACTAAGGGTTTTCTTAAATGTCAAGAATCTAACATTACAACCATGAAAGTTGTGGTAATTGTTTTTTAAACTTGGCTTAAAGCATTGTCTAGTTTCAATATAACCATTTAGTTTTGAGTGCATCATTTAGAAACTAACTGTGTATTTAACTATTCCACACACTGATTCTATCAATAAATCATGTATCCCCCATGAATTACCAGAGATTATATCCAAATAAGCAAATAAATGAACAATTAATGTCACTTAAACAGGGTATGAAAAGCTCATTGAACAATAAATGAAGCCTTGCTGTAAGGTAAATGATACATTCTTTTGACATTTGATATCAAAGATAAATGCAGTATAGTTGTACAATCTTAAAATATGCAAAATACCCCCACTTTCAGGATATGTTTTTGAGTAATCGTGTATCGAAAGACTGATGTGTAATAATAAAAATCACACAAAAATCAGACTTATTATTTCAGATTATGTGAAATTTCCCCATATTCTGGATCATCAATAAATTCATGGTATAAATCATTAAATGTTGGACGCTTATTAGGTGTAAGTAACCAGCACTTCTGCATAAGGTTATAAACTAGTGGAGGACAATCGTTAGGACGTGTCAATCGACGACCTTTTTCTAGATACTGTATAACCTGAAACATAATTCATATTCATCAAATTAAAACAAGCCAACATTGAGGCTGAGGTCCCCAGTCTTAATCCTCCCCAAAAATGATGACACTTATTAATCAGTAATTACTTCCACATTTTTCCTTTTATAAAGCACTGAGCAATGGAATTGTTATCAGTGTGCCTACTGTGTGAACCGTGTTAAATAATAAACGGATTTCTTCGATTATGAGCAAACTACTATACTTTGGTTATTATAAACTTACCTGTGTGTTTGAAATTACCTCCGGTTATATAAAATCCATTGTACAACTATATGTCCTAGCGATTAAAAAAGTTCTCTCTTGTAAAATTGAACTCATCACAAACTTTGACACCGAGAAATAACCAAAATGGAAGCTAATTACGTCACTTATCGGGATATATCATTTCGTATAGGGGGAGTCAAAGCAAGGCTTGTCTGTCGTAACGGTTGTGTATGAATAAGCTATTTTTCTCGGAACCCAGTAATGAGTTTGGGCGTTTAAAAACATAAATACGGCCGTAGTCCGGTATTTTGTTTCCCTCTTGTATTATAATTATTTGGTTAGAGAGTTTGGTTGGATTATTTCTTTTGAACTATATTTGTTTTACTGACCTTGAATTAATTTCACCCTTGAATATTTTTAATATTTCCTGATGAACTTCAGCTGTCCTGTCAATTAACCTCAGCAATCTGCTGTAGCCGAGGTACATGCCGATGTATTTTACATTTGCCTAGACAACATTAATAGCCGAGGCCATTGAATCATTGGCAGAACAGTAGGACGTTAAACCCCATTTCATTTCATTTCCATTGAATCATTGAATAGGTATAGGCCTATAACGTTATTTTTTTTTTTTATACACAAATACCAAAAATTATTACCAACAATTAATCATACCGCACACCGGATTAATTATCGGCAGATAGTTCAGTTTCTTTCTATTTCGCTCTGAAAATTATTTCCGGTGTGCAAAAAACTGTTTAGAAAAATTTATAATCGTACGTGATCGGTAACACAATTATTTTGTAAATTCCCGGCTTTGTTTTGAAATTCACAAGGCAATAGTATCCAATATACAACTATATATACAGGTGTTAAAAACAATATTATATTTACGAGTATTCGTATAATTGGTGATATATTCATTGTGAATAAAATTTAGTAGACTGACAATCAATTGTTTCCAAATCAATGTCTTTGTCTCAGTTGCTATTGTGTTGCCCAACTCAAAAAATCGAAACGGTCGTGCGCTGTTGTGATTACAACACACGTGATTCAACCTTTACCCCCTTCAACATATTATGATGGTTTAGCTCATGACGTGACATGTGTAATGTTGTGATGGACACTGTCGTGCGCTGTTGTGATTACAACACACATGATTCAACCTTTACCCCCTTCAACATATTATGATGGTTTAGCTCATGACGTGACATGTGTAATGTTGTGATGGACACTGTCGAAAATACAAGCAAAAACATCGACTTTTCAAGAGAGAACTTTTGTTTTGGTTTGGATATTTAATTGTGCAATGGATTTTATTCAACCGGAGGTGATTTCAAACACATAGGCAAGTTTTTAATAACAATTATTCAGTAGTTTGTTCACAATCGAAGAAACCCGTTTATAATTTACCATGGTTCACACAGTAACCTTAGTCACGGTACTGGTTTAAAACTATACACTAAGTTTCATCACTCTCACTTGATTTGAATCAGAGTTATTGTGTTCCATATAGCATTGATACATGTAATTGTTGATCATCATTGAAATCAATCAAGACATTCACCAATGAATATGTACACCAAGGTTGAATATTACTCCTCCATTAGAAGCAGAGTTAGTGTTACAAAAGGTGTGAGGAATAGCCAGACTGCCAGCTACACTGATCATAGAGTGGAATAATAGTCTGATGAAATGTCATAGATTTTCCTTACTATTATAGGGATTGTTTCAAATAAGTTAGATGTCAATTTATTTGTCAGGCCCTCAATATACTCACCACAAGCAAAGTCTTCTGTGCTAAATCTTATATTATAGCCAACATATTAGTACTTTGTACTAGGCTTTAAAAAGTAAAAATGTGAACAGAAAAATCAATCCGCCCTAGTTTGAAAAATTCCATTTGATCAAGTATCGCGAAATAAAATTTCTTGAATTTTAAATTAAACGGGAGGGAGAATGTGAACAGCTATGTCCATGAAGGTTGTTGGTTATCTTAACGTAAATCAAAAAACAAAATTCTTATACTGTATATAACATCACTGGTGCATTGACAAGATTATACAACATAATAAAGGGCATTAACAAGTAACTCTATATGTCTCAATAATAATAAAAACAAATATATATTTTAAAAAGATCATAAATGTCATCTATACAGTTTGTTAACAAGAAATTGAGAATGATATACAAGGGTGATAGCAATATTAAAATCCATTGTAAACTTAGTGTCATTAACCGGTTTTAACAGTTAAAATATGTACAACCTGAAAATCATGATATTTAAATAGGGTTCTTCTTTATGCT